GTACACGCTACTGTTGAAGGCCAATTGAAAATAAAGTGTCTGCAGGTCCTGGAATCGATGAATCAGCCATCAGTCCAAGGTAACCTTAAAGGCAGGGGGTACGCTAATCCGTATGCCCCTCAAAAAAGAGTGGAGGAGCTCACTACTGCGACAGCGATGAGAAGCTAAACTAAACAACAGGAATTTCGTATAATGAGCATGCTATTTTCGTGCAATTGACGGGTTTCCCTCAATGGAATGGCATCGTGAGCGCCATACTCTGCCTCTAGCGCAAAGAACTCAGGCCGGGAGCAGCAAGCCTGTCCAGGGAATGGATCCCCAAAACTCTATTTCTAGACCAATCCCTGTATTCATTGATGCGCGGCTTTCTGCACCCGGCTCCAGAGGACAGATGATAAAGTCCAGTAGAGGAGGTACCTATTCCAAGTCGGAGTTTCGTGGGGTCTTGTAAAGTCTGCGCGCCACCGCCTACCTCATTAATCGGACCCTTCTGTTGGGACCAGAACAGCTAAGTTATGCTACCTCTAAAGCTGTGCCGTTTGTAAAGGGAATAATTGATGAAAACAAGCTAAATTTAATGGGACTCTTTCTCGATTTCCGGGCACAGGAGCACTAGCTATGACCGCGTATGGCACTATGTATACTGACTCCCTCTACGGTTGAATAGAGAATAACCACGCACGCGATCCGGGCTACCGATACGCGTTGAACGACGCGAGTGCCTGGAGGCTGAACGTCGCATAATACCTCAATGAATCAACCTTCTCAAAATCTCTGAATTTCAACAGAGCAACCCGTTCAGATAGCGAGGCAGAAACGCTGAAGATCGAACGGTTCATCTGGTGCGGAAACTTGGAAATGGCTCGACGGAAATCACTGTAGGAGATAAGGTATGGTTATTCGTTGCATCATGCGAGCTTGATCAAGACATCCATTTAGCATTGGTGTGGTCCTGAATTTTGGGCATTTTTGCTTTTCTGCCCTCGCGTGAGCGATTGTGCATGATATTGATTGTGCGCGCGTAAAATCGATACGCATATTCAAAGGCGCCGTTTGAGCATGCCGCTACTTGGAGGCGCTTCTTTTAAAGGCCATTACAATTGGCCGACTCCATAGTTGCTGCAGCTTCACCACGCCGTTGCTAGCGGCATTAAGGCATATCAGAAAACTCATTCGTACCCACTTTTCTCCATCTCGGGTGGATTCCTATTGAAAGAGATTGGGACCCTTGGACGCGTCTTTGGGAATTTCTTTTGCTTTTTTCCATTTTTAGTCCAGTCCGCCTCTCAACTAACATATTAAACCTTCTTATGCGTTATTTCTTTAAGCACGAAACTGCCTTTAAGCCATCGAGCTGCACCTATGTATACCACCTTTCGAAAAACGAGAAGAGCGTCGGGTACAGACCATGCACCACAAGTGACGACGGCCTCTACAAATGTTTGTTTTTCCTGCCAAGCCTGTAGCAGTTGTATTCTATCAGTTGTCACTAATTACAACTATCATTTACCAAAAATCAGCTATCACTATGAACCACTACTAACCAGATTTACTTGGAGGCCGTCGTCACTTGTGGTGTATGGTCTGCAACAATCCTTCTTTGGATTTTGAAAGGGAGGGTACCTGCCTGGGTGTTCAGTGGACAGTCCAGATCCTAATCAATTCTTTTGACGATAGCATTCTATTCGTCAGACCATGGAACTCGCGTATGTAATTATGGAGTGTTTACCTGGAAATCCGGTACCAATCATAGGAAATCTTCAAGGAGAAGAGCAAACGCTGAAGATCATCGAATATGGTCTACAACTGCTGAAGGTTCGTGTTTTATCACTCTTTATCCTGTGCAGACCATCACTCAAGCTTTACACAGATGTATTCGCGACTCCATAGTTTATTGTCTATCGGATACACCGCGTACATGTCTTCAGTCCAGAATCGCAAGCAGGGTCAACCCTACGTTGTTACTAGTAACAACGGGGGGGGGTCGTACTTGGTTGAGTTTGTAGGGGGGGGGTCGTATCCGTTTCTTGTCGCTTGAAATCACATGTGAGTTTGAGGTGAGAGTAGGAGTAAAATGGCGGAGATATAGGGAATTTCTACTGTTTTAGAGTAGCTATACACTCCCCCCTCCCCCGACGGCATTTTCAAAGGAAAAGGGGGGGCGTAAAATTTTTCAAAAAGTAGGAACGATAGGGTTGACCCTGATCGCAAGTGCAACCCCTCTTCGCCTTGGAGCGACCAGCAACCACAGCAGATGCTCATGCTTGCAGTTAGCGAGTATCTACCAACCTTGTTTTTTTAGGCCTAGTCCTCGAATAGATAGGCGCTGAAGGGGCCCGGTTTAGCTTGGTTTTTTTTTTGAATTGCTTTTTTGACTGCTTGATGAACTGCAGTTTCACTGCATTACCGTGGAATTTCCCTTAATTTTAGTGCTGTCTAGCTGATCCACTAGTTAAGGTCTTTTCGTGTGAATAAAAGAAATAAACAAATAAATCAATTGAGAAACAAATTTCAGGCAATCTACGACATGCATCAGTGTGGCTTTATCCATCGAGATATCAAGCCAGAAAATATAGGAATGTATGATGTAAGCTTAACAAGCTAGTTCTCACGGTTCCTGCCCTCTAACAATGCATAAAGAGGTTCTAAGGACAAGATGGGAGAGAAAGAAGAACGATTGCTTAGGACTTATAGGCTGTCCCTTTTTTAAATGAAATAGTATTCTGCCCACTACATAGAGCATCTAAGGTGACGGGGTTTAACATTTTCTCCAGGGTTTTGTTGCGTTTCTGAAGCAATCCTCTTCGGTGGATGGTCTCATAGACTAAGAGGCGGGAGGGTATAGGGGAGGTGGAAAGGGAGGGGAGAGCATGGATTTGTCCTCGCTTCAATTTTCCCAACAGCAAAATTGTACTAGTTTTGGCGGCAGATTTAAGGGGCATTTCTGCTTTCTGTTCACTCAGCCCTACTTCCCGCAAAAGACTGTATTGAGAAACGTAATCGCTGCCACTGCTCTCTGCACGAGCCTAGAGAACGCATTCCTGGATACCCACAGCAATTAACAGAAATGTTTTAAATTCAGAATAATATAGTGGTCATGTACGATATGGGCATGGCGCGGGCGTACCTGGACGAAGAGGGCAAATCACCGACCTCCCCGTTCTCATGCAGGCATGAGAGGCACCGAGGAGTGGAGTAGTCTGAACGCTGAGATCGGTCGAGATCAGGTCTGCTTCTTTTCAATTTGTAGCGACTATAAAGAAACTTTGTTGATCATTTATCCTGACTGCTATGAACTATGTATTCATGAAGACTGTCGAAATTTTAGGGCCGAGTTGATGACCTTTTGGGGATGGTTGTACTGCCTCAATGAGTGGGTCAATTGTCGAAGTCAAAAGCCACAAGTTTGGTCCGCTTACGATAAAGAGCCCAATATACGGTATGAACCCAGTATATCGCCAGTATCCTTTCCTAATAGTAGTAAATTTCTTCGTGTACATAAAATGATTTACGTAATAACTGTAACAGGTCATACTGGGCATATTGGAGGTACATCTTGAAAAGACCCCAGGACCTCTAGATAGAAATTTAAAGGCACATTACACGCTAAACAACGTATGGGCGGAGTTACTTGGAACACCCACGCTTTCACTAGTGGGCCTTTTAATCATGAAATGTTGAAAAAAGGACGCAGTAATGGGGAAGGTGCAATGGTCCAAGCAATGAATGACTTCGCTCGTATGATCAGCGGGGGATGTACCTTGCTATATTTTGCTCAATTGCCCATTTATTTGGTGTCAGTTGTTCCCGACAAACCACATAACCGCGAGTCCATTTTTGGGCACATTGACATTAGAGCTTTAAATGAAGAGGAAATATTCAGACAATGGATGAAATCTCCGTTTTTCTCGGCAAGAATGGTGCTCAACAACTGCCCGTTCGCATTTTTCCGAATAGGCGTAAGCGCTTCATTCGCTCTTTTTTCTTGTTTTTTTACTCGTTGTCATATTGTTTCAGTTCTATATCTTCGGTCGTTGGGTCGTGACGATACGCCTGATTATTTCTACCTTGCCTCGTTACTGCATGAAGCGAGTCGTACAGTGAAACGAAAGCAGAAACCAGAGCCAGTGAATTTTGATAAGATCATCGCTGAAAATAATCTACTCGAGAGGAACTTCTTTTAGAAGGCTTTTTACATGAACAACACTAAGTTTACTCAACTCCGATAAATCGAAGTTGTCTGAATGTGTTCTAAACAGTTCATAAGCTCTACCAGAAGCAGAAACACACGAGTTGAAATTTGACAGGATAGCTGAAGGGATCTAACACAAACAAATAAGCTCTCTCTCGAAGAAGTGGGCAAGCTATCGGGGTGAGCATCGGAGAAGAATAGGTCTACCCGCAACTTGAAATTCGGTCCCTACAACCGCTTTAATTTGATGCTTTCGTCTGTATTTCTCTCGCCTGAACACTGCTCTGGCAACAATTTCAAACTTTTGCACACTGTAGCTGGTTTACCCACTCGAAAGGCCTTCCTACCAAGTTAACCAGGAAGGTCTTTCAGGGCGTGCCAAGCTTTTTGAAAACGGTCTTTTGCATGATATAGGGGCAGATGCGGGAACCACAGAACCATGTTAATTTTTCCTGAACGGCCCTCTGAATACCAGAAAAGGGGGTCCCTAGTTCGATTCCTCGTGGTGACAAATTTTTGCATTTCGAGTTGACGTTCCAAAATTCGCGCAAAATGTTAGCATGAATATTTGCGCAAAACATGATTATGTAGCATGGATAATTATTACCATATAATGATACGACCGTCAGTAATCCCTACAAATAGACTTTGATTAAAAAACTGGTGAAAAAGGTATGACACCACAGTGGGGCTGCTTGGTGTCACACCTCTTACACCAATTTTTGAGTCAGTCTTTGTAAGGGTTACTGACGGTCCTAATCATGAATATGGTACTAATTATTCATGCTAACTCCATTTTGCGCGAATTTTGAAACGTCAACTCGAAATGCAAAAATTTGTCACCACGAGGAATCGAACTAGGGACCCCCTTTTCTGGTATTCAGAGGGCCGTTCAGGAAAAATGAACATGGTTCTGTGGTTCCCGCATCTGCCCCTATATCATGCAAAAGACCGTTTTCTTGGCACGCCCTGAAAGACCTTCCTGGTTAGTACAGGGCGCTAACCTTCCTACTTGGGATTTAGATCCGAACTAGGAGGCGTTCCCTAATCGTTGCTCCAG